AGTGCGTTGTGATTGGCCGAATACCTCAAGCGTGAGACGGAAATGTTACGTCCCTTATCATACTGTGATGCCCTGTCCAGCCGGCGCGACGAGACAAAACCAGAAAAACCCATTATAAACGAGGCATTTGTTGCATCCAGTATGGGACATAATTACGGATTATATTTACTTATACTGTCTTTTATACTGTCCGTGTAAACATAAAACCATGTCTGCATTTGTGATTGACACTCCAAAGAGAAAGGAAAAATTTAAAACGCATCATATGACCCCCTTAACTTTATTCAAATTTACATTCTAATTCTCTAAAATAATTAACTGAAGTAAATTAAACTAACTTGAACTTTCTTTTCTCCCGTTGTCTGCACAGTTTCTTCTCTCCTACAGTATGTGTTTGTAAAATGAAACTGTAATTTGTTCTCTAGGTTTATTGTACCCATCTCTATTGTAATCTGTAATGACATCATGGCCTACCTGTTTGGCTTCTTTTTTGGAAGAACTCCACTGATTAAGGTGAACCTGTGATATTTGCATGGTAGATGTTTCCTCACAGCACTAAACATTAGTGATAAACATTCTCCGTCCCTTAATTTTCTGAACTGATGACTACATTTCCATAATTGAATCCATTGTGGATGAAAATGATCTTATCTCAAACCTCTTTGCTCTCTCGCAGCTCTCCCCAAAAAAGACCTGGGAAGGATTCATTGGGGGATTCTTTGCAACAGTGGTCTTCAGTTTCTTTGTAAGTCACCATTAGACCTTTGAGTAGGGTGACCATACATCCTTTTTTTTTTCTTGGACATGTCCTGGCCAGGATTTCTAAATTGGCTCAAATGTAAGGGGTTTGGTATCCTCATACATTATATGTAAATGTATTTGCACTGCTCTAACCATTCTGTGTAGATTACACTTTGTAACACACCTCGATTAGGCGATTATGTACAATGCCTTACTTTTCAGTCATTATCTTCAGCAAGTATGAAAAGAAAGCCCAAACCTGGACTTTTTAGTCAATTTTTAGGCAGATGTGTCCCAGTTAGGATGTATCTGTATGTTGTATGCTCACCCTACCTTCAAGCAACACAAACAACTGTTATATCACTAAATTGTGTCACAACTAAAACCTCCTATTCCAGTTTGCGTACCTGATATCCCAGTACCAGTACTTTGTTTGTCCAGTGGAATACAACAGTGAGACAAACCGTTTTGCGGTGGAGTGTGAGCCCTCAAATCTCTTCATGATACAGGAATACACACTTCCTGCAGTGGTGCAGAATGCAGTTAGATGCGTGAGTAGACGACGGGGCAAAACTACATACTGTAACAGCTAAGAGATTGTGGCCTAATACAGCTCTGCTGCTTAATATCTAATATTTGAGAGGGGTTGTCTTATTCCTAAATCCTTCGAAATGATAATCGTTTTGTAATGTAATGATGTCTACATCTTTCTTGTGTCTGCAGAAAACGGTGAACCTTTACCCATTTCAGATCCACAGTATTGCGCTCTCTACGTTCGCCTCTCTGATCGGACCATTTGGTGGATTCTTTGCCAGTGGCTTCAAACGAGCTTTCAAGATCAAAGTTAGTTCACATTCAGCAGCAGTCACACATAAACACTTGAATTTGGATCTTACAGTCTGTACCTACTTCGAGTGAGCGTGACACTGTGAGCTTGTGATTTTTCATTTTGTAGGACTTCGCGGACACCATTCCTGGTCATGGTGGTATAATGGATCGTTTTGACTGTCAGTATCTGATGGCAACGTTCGTTCATGTTTACATAACAAGTTTTATCAGGTGACCTCTCAACTCATTTGGTTACACTTTTTCCTTTCGAAAGATTAAATAAAAATGTTTATGGGAGAATTTGACACAGGATCCAAAATGAACAGACCAAGTGCCAAATGTGTGTAAACATTGGCTTTGGCCAATGAAGTAGATTTACTCATGAGTGGGCTGTAACTTTATAAGTAATTACCTTGAACATAACACATGGTTTAAGTCAAACTATGACAGATAGTCGGACCTTTCCTAATTTAGGTGACTCAATTCAAATCAAAGAAATCTACTGAGACTGTGCATCTTCAATTGAATAATCCCAATGTCATAAAGACAAAAGTATGTCATATGCTCCATTAATTTGAGTAACTTTGAGTAACAAAATTTTAAAAGACAAGTCTAAACCGGCATTCACATGATCATGTCTTGGCAGTGGTTTAGAGTGGAAATTATGTCTAAACAAACAAAATTAATATTATTTATTTGATCTATTTATATTATTTTTGTCCACGGTATATGTTGCAAAAATAACTGTATTGTTTAGCATTTTCTGTATTGTTTAGCATATTGGCACTTCCATGTTTGGTGTTTCTGTAATCCCAGTGGTCTGCACACAGGAAGTATGTTTGACCCTCCGTCATTTTTCTCTTCCCCAGGGGGCCGAACCCCAGTAAGGTTTTACAGCAGTTGCTTGTTCTGCAACCAGAGCAGCAACTCAGCATCTTCAATACGCTGCGCAACCACTTACGAGAAAAGGGCATGCTACCCCCTGCTGTGGAGGAAGCCCAATGACAGACGTCCCCACCTCAGCAGACAAAGCCAGCTCATGTCCTGTTGAACTCTCTAAGCATTCACCCATGACTGTGATGGCACGAGCACACTCTCAACCGACCACAGGAGCTCCCGTTCAGTGAGAGAGAGTGACGCCTGCTGCAAACCAAACTCTCACTTTCAACCCATTAGAAACTCACCAAATGAAGGAGGAAAATGACCACAAGGGGGGCGACACGGTTCTCTTAATCAGAGCCACTGTCTGGGAAATCAACATCAAAGGAAAGGTCTTCCGATCAACAAACATGCAAAACAAAAGATCCAAGCACATGGTAAGTGAATGTATAGCACTATAGGAAGGGGGCTTCAGCGGAGTGACATCATTGCACTGATTTTGTGATTCTGGCCTGATGTTATGAGCGCGTGATTTGCTTTGCGAACGCAATAACTCATGATGGTGACTTTCAGTTTTTGAGATGCCATAATTCTCACGGTTAACATTTTAATGTGAGCTTACTTTATAACGGGGGTCCTAAACTCAAAGCATTACAAAACAACTAGTCTAAAACAGAAGCATGTCTGTAAGTCCTACTGTTACTGCTTAAAATAGCCATATTCTCTTTCCTTTTCACATTACTCAGTGTGTTCGTGTGAGCGCTAGAACAACTCACTTGTGTGTACATATCATCATATGTATTGTTGTACATAGATATTATACACTAAATCAGCGGTGGCGAACTCCGGTCCTGGAGAGCAGCAGCCCTGCAGAGTTCAGCTCCAACCTTAATTAAAACTCACCTGCCTGTAGCTTCCTAATAACCCTTCAGACCTTGATTAGCTTGTTCAGGTGTGTTTGATTAGGGTTGAAGCAAAACTCTGCAGGGCTGCGGCTCTCCAGGACTGACGTTCACCACCCCTGCACTAGATCATATATAGAGATTATACATTTATTAAAATAATATATATGGTTTAACAAATGCTATATAATAGGAAGTTATGATAATGATATGCAAAAAGACTTGTCTTATTTTCTTAAATCCAGCATGACTAAATCTCTCTAGGGGTGGAGAATAACTTAAACGGATTGTTTTCGGGGAGAGAAACAGCCTTTTTGAGAAGGTGGTTTGCTGTGTTCCCCTCCGTGACCATTGGTTTTAGTTGCACTGTAACTACGCGAGTCGAAAGATTCAATTAGCTTTTCAGGATTTAATATAAAAAAAACTGGTGCTTTGAGTAGATATCCAATATTTGAAAACATGTAAACATGTTCTTAGATTTACACAAAATTATTTGTTTATGCGCTTTTTATTTTTTTATGTTTATAGTATCCTCCCTGCTATATTGTTTTTAGCTGCTCTTGTTTTTAAAACCTGAATTTTCATTTTAATTTGTTGAAATCTTTCTGAATTCTTTACCAAACAAATGTGTACCAAAGCACTGGCAATTTTGCTGTAAAAAAAAAAATTGTTAAACCACGATTAATATTGTCAAATGCTACAATCTTACAGTAGAGACCAATAAAATCCTATGAGATTGAATAATTTCAGCACTTACATGAACAAAAGTAACATTACTACAGGTTATCATCATTTTTAGGCTTTTAGTTTAAAGAAGTGGATTTGTAATAACCTGTGACCTTTGCCCTAATTGCACATCAGGCCTCAGTAGTGTAGTTTGGGACCAGTTGTCAATAGTTGCATTGTAAAACCTAAACAAAAAACGCAGTAAGTGTGACCCCCTTACCTTATTCATTCATTTCTGCAATAGGTTTACATGTTCCTTTACTTAACATCTGCGGTCCAGTAGATGCAGTCATGTGAGAATGTTGTGTTTGTAAGTAATATGAATCCTATCAGACCAAAAAGAGAATGCACTTCTAGATGTCTACAGCTGATTTTGTGGATGTCACAATTGTATTAGCAATTTAGTTTTTTTTTTTTTAGAGCTGCTGTACAATTTAAGTTATAACGTGACCCAACGTATAATATTGTGCAAGCTTATACTGTACAGAAATTTAGCTGAAAATGGGTTTCAAATTTGTTTTAAAAAAATGGGAACCTTTATTTATGTCTCCGTTTGATTTTCAGATTTTTTTAATGAGTTTTCAGTAGTAAATATTTACCAGAAGACAAAAAAAGTAATACGTTTATGGCAAATACAGAGGAAAGAATGTAAGAATTATTATTGCAATGCTACACTTGGTGAATAAACTTCACTTGTTTTGACTTACTCTCTGTGGTCACATTCATTGCATGATTTCAATCTGCCACCAAAAGTACTTCTGCAAGCAGCAATTGAGTTTATTCTCAAAATTGTATCTTTGTTTGTTGTTAAACAGTAACATGTGAACAGACACAGCTACAGTAGTTCCCAAAACAGACTGCTAATATGAAGGCATTAAAAAGAAAATAAGAACTTAAAATGACAATTAAAAACAAGTGCACTTTACATATAACATCTTGCAGTATGGTAATGACATTTAGAAGAAATACTAACAAAACGTAATCTCAAATGCTACAAAAACAATCAAAACATCTTATAATGGCTTATGCATCTTATTATCTCTATATGCTCCATTCAGATCAGACTGTAAGTGCAACATTAACGTCATTATTTAATATAAGGTGCATCAGCAGTTTCATTGTCACATGAAATGAAGAATAGATTTATGTAGAGCATTACAAAAACCTTGACAGAGCATTCGCCTCAACCTAATATATGTTGTTTTGGACGTTTATGCAGTTATACGAAAGATTTCCTCCACTAGAACATACCAAGACCTGAATTGCAGCTCCAGAGGAAAACCATGAATTACATGTAAAAGTAATTAAAATGAAAAACAAGAATATAATTGTAGTATTAAAACCAACATAACCTAAAAAAAACATTTGTAGTTCTTACTGTGTGAATGAAGTGTAATTTAATTCACATTAAAATATGAACATAAAAACATAAATACAATGTTTTAACATGCTAATAAAAACATTAAGAGGCAAAAAAAAAAACTTTGTGCATTTCTGTACTGCAAGGAGAACAAAAACTCTTCAGCTCTTCTCGGACCACTGCTTTGACATTGAAGACTCATCATGAAGACCAATCACTTCCACAGTCTATAGCCCTATTCGCACGGGATTAGTATTATCTGGGAATCACAGAGATGTCGATTCGCACGGGACTAATATTATCACAGCACCTCGGTGTTCGGCGAAATATGGTAGGTCATTTGCGGGGGAATTTTTACTTTACAAATTACTGACATGGCCGATTCACACGGGATTAAGATCACAGACAACCTCCGCAATTATTACAAATGACTGGAGGTCACCAGGTAATACTAATCCCGTGCGAATAGGGCTTATTATACTAAAAGAGATTTGACCGATATGGACGTCTTCTGCAGTGTTAATTATAAACTATAGAGCTGCGAATCTAGCCTAACCTTGAACTTGTCTCCCGGATGTAAAGGCTTTGAGAGTCCCGTTCTATGGTCCAGATGGATTTACAAAAAGGAAACTAATATAGTTTCGTGCGCCCAATCTCCATCATGTGAAAGATGGACGTGCTGAAGCGGCTCAGGACGCAGGTGAAAACGAAGGTCCCGAGGGCCACGCAGGGGTAGAGCGAGAGCTTGGCCAACATAAAGGCGTGCTCTCGACCGCCGTAGCGCACATACGGGTGCAATGTCTCGCGCTCCGTGAAAAGTGCCGTCACCCACATCGCTAGCTGGAACAGACCGGCGAAGAAGATGATGACGCAGCTGATCTGCACGGCCTCCAGCTCATTGCGGGAGCCTCTGGGAAATTCATGCGTGAGCTGGTAAGCGAGTGGCAGGCCGCCCACGAAGGCCAGCGAGAACGTGTTGAAGAGGCCCATGAGGCGAGTGGCCTTTGTCACATGCAGGAAGAGAGAGTGATGAACAAACCACAGCAGGCCGACGGTGGCGAAGGAACCGAAGTAAGCCAGGTACTCGGGACCGTACTCCTGAAGCGCATCGATGAGGCTGTTGTCAAACTCCTTCTTCACCACAGACGGATCAGGTACGTTGTCTTCACTGTGTAAGAAGATAGTTTATTAAGCTCTCAAATCTATTAGTTACCTTTGTGATATAATACTGGTTTTAACAAGGTGTTTAAAATGATGTACTAAAGAGAAGCACAGTGCAAATTCTTTGTAAGATCCAGTAATGACAGAATTGCTTTGGAGGGATACAAACCAAATGTCTAAGATGAGCAGCGTGGCTACGATTGCATCAAAACCTTTTCAGCTTTCTCTTTCTGCAAATTGTATGGTGTAGCGATATGATGACAGCACCCATAATACTATCAAACACTCCAACGCAGCTCCATTCTTCGCGGAAGATGGATAAAAAGGCACACAGGAAATAAAAACCTCAAAAAATGATATACGACTCACCAAATGCAAAAAAAGAAACTAATATAGTTTCGTGCGCTGTGTCATTTACATTTCACCAGGTTAAAATAATATCTCAAGCTTTATGCTTGATTTATTTGTAACACATTAACCTCAAAACCTTTTCAGCTTTCTCTTTCTGCAAATTGTATGGTGTAGCGATATGATGACAGCACCCAAAATACTATCAAACACTCCAACGCAGCTCCATTCTTCGCGGAAGATGGATAAAAAGGCGCACAGCAAACAAAAACCTCGAAAAATGATATACGACCCGCCAAATGCTGGCCGAATCACAGAGATGCCGATTCGCACGGGACTAATATTATCACAGCACCTCGGTGTTCGGCGAAATATGGTAGGTCATTTGCGGGGGAATTTTTACTTTACAAATTACTGACATGGCCGATTCACACGGGATTAAGATCACAGACAACCTCCGCAATTATTACAAATGACTGGAGGTCACCAGGTAATACTAATCCCGTGCGAATAGGGCTTATTATACTAAAAGAGATTTGACCGATATGGACGTCTTCTGCAGTGTTAATTATAAACGATATAGCTGTGAATCTAGCCTAACCTTGATTTTACGTCAAACATTGAAGTGTTTTCTTCTTCTCCGTTCACTGCTAAGTCACTATATCATTAATGGGCAGCTGTGAGTCCTCTTCCTCTACTGGAACACTATCCAAATCGTTCCTCGCAGGACAGAAGAGCCATCTGATCACCGCCAGCGCCACACGGACCAGCAACCTCAGTAAAAGAAAAGCAAACGGTACGCCAATCTCCATCATGTGAAAGATGGACGTGCTGAATCGGCTCAGGACGCAGGTGAAGACGAAGGTCCCGAGCGCCACACAGGGGTAGAGCGAGAGCTTGGCCAACATAAAGGCGTGCTCTCGACCGCCGTAGCGCACATACGGGTGCAATGTCTCGCGCTCCGTGAAAAGTGCCGTCACCCACATCGCTAGCTGGAACAGACCGGCGAAGAAGATGATGACGCAGCTGATCTGCACGGCCTCCAGCTCATTGCGGGAGCCTCTGGGAAATTCATGCGTGAGCTGGTAAGCGAGTGGCAGGCCGCCCACGAAGGCCAGCGAGAACGTGTTGAAGAGGCCCATGAGGCGAGTGGCCTTTGTCACATGCAGGAAGAGAGAGTGATGAACAAACCACAGCAGGCCGACGGTGGCGAAGGAACCGAAGTAAGCCAGGTACTCGGGACCGTACTCCTGAAGCGCATCGATGAGGCTGTTGTCAAACTCCTTCTTCACCACAGACGGATCAGGTACGTTGTCTTCACTGTGTAAGAAGATAGTTTATTAAGCTCTCAAATCTATTAGTTACCTTTGTGATATAATACTGGTTTTAACAAGGTGTTTAAAATGATGTACTAAAGAGAAGCACAGTGCAAATTCTTTGTAAGATCCAGTAATGACAGAATTGCTTTGGAGGGATACAAACCAAATGTCTAAGATGAGCAGCGTGGCTACGATTGCATACACCCCATCACTGAAGGCCTCCACTCGCTCTTTACTCAAAGGTTCACTGGGGTGGTAGGTGTAGAAGGGCACTGAATCTGGACTGACTTCCACCTGACCTGAGTTCATTAAAAAAGTGATGATATGCAGATTACAATAACTCCAATGACACTACAGTTCAAAAGTTTGGGATTTTAAAACAAACAAACAAAAGGAATACATTTGTTAAGCAAGAATGCACTGAATGATGATTTCCATTTCAAATAAATGCTATTCATTAAAGAATCCTAAAGAATGCATCACTGTTTCCACAAAACTATTAAGCAGCACATCGGTTTTCAACACTGATAAAAATAAGAAGTGTTTCTTGAGCACCAGATCAGCATATTAGAATGATTTCTTAAGACGGGAGTACATTCAGCTTTGCAATCACAGAAATAAATGACATTTTAAAATGCATTCAAATAGAAAACAGCTATTTTAAACTGTAATAATATTTCATAATATTTTTATCAAATTAATTCAGCCTTGGTGAACACAAGTGACTTCTTTCAAAAACATTTGAATAAAAATCCCACCTAACTCCAACCTTTTGAACAGTAGTGTATGAACAATGACAAAACATGTATCCAATATAAGAATAAGAGAGTAAAGTGTTGTGAGATTTTGCTCTCACCGCCGATGGCTTTACTCCGGATCCATTTTAAACACTGAGAGATGTAAGGCAGGAATATGACAACAGCCAAAATGATGTAGGACTGCCAGAGGAAACGTACAGAAATAAAAAGTATTAATTAAAATATATGACCCTGGACCACAAAACCAGTCTTAAGTCGCTGGGGTATATTTGTAGCAATAGCCAAAAAAACATTGTATGGGTCAAAATGATTGATTTTTCTTTTATGCCAAAAATCATTAGGATATTAAGTAAAGATCATGTTCCATGAAGATATTTTGTAAATTTCCTACTGTAAATATGTTAAAACTTAATTTTTGATTAGTAATATGCATTGCTAAGAACTTCATTAGGACAACTTTAAAGGCGATTTTCCTCAGTATTTTGATTTTTTTGCACTCTCAGATTCCAGATTTTCAAATAGTTGTATCTCGGCCAAATATTGTCCTATCCTAACAAACCATACATCAATGGAAATATTATTTATTCAGCTTTCATATGATGTATAAATTTCAATTTCTAAAAATTGACCCTTATGACTGGTTTTGTGGTCCAGGGTCACATATTATATAATATGTAAATATTATGTTATAATGTATGTGATAAAATACAGTTTGGTTAAATTATGTATTTACATAATAAAATAAACTATAGAATTTTATCAGCAAATACACTTGTTGTATTTATATAAACACTATATTTGGCTGCTTTTGTTTGTACTAATAAATAAAGTCCTGTACCAGTGGGATAAAGATGAATGAAAATATGCTGGCAAACAGACACATGATAGGAACCCTCATGATGACTTCAAGGATGCGTCGCTTGTAATAAGCCTGATTCTCAGACATTTGGATCTGATCATTGAGGAAGAAAGGACGGCTGAATCCATACAAGACAATCATGGCCTAAAGACAAAAAAACATGACTGTAAAACAAAACTCAAAAGCATCTTATGCTGGTAATGTTATTCAGACATGCAAGCGTTCTCACCTGAATTAAACCAATCACCATGACACAAGCACAGAATAGGAGGATGCCAAGAGTATAACTAGGGAATGTTGCCATGAGAGAGAACTATAACAAAATAAACAAACAAAAAAAACATTCAAAACAGTCATAAACAGGCAGATTTTTCATTTCACTTAAAGAGGAGGTAAAAGGAAAGTACTGTACATAAGTCAAATTGTGCTAAACTAAGCAATCTTTCAAAACATCAGTAGAATGACTCACTGTGTATGGTAGAAAGGTTATAAGCATCATACATGCCTGAAATAGAAGAGATATGATGTTTAAAAGTCATTATACACTTTAAAAATGAATACACGGGTACTTTACATTCATTAGGAACACTTTAGCTGGTGTTCTCACCAGGTTAAGCAGTGCAAGAGTGTCGTCAATGCGCTCGATGACTTGAAACAACCTAAAACCAAATGCTTAAATGAAATCTTTATGCAAATGAATGAAAACAGCAGTTACATGAAATTAATACTTGATAGATGTGTAGTGCTTGAGGGCTCTCACCGGATATGTGCAGCCCATGCAACAGTGACAATCAAAAAAGTCATCAAGTAGACAGCAACCTTGGTGGTGAGCAAAGCCTGAATACTCTGTTTCAGTTCCTGAATAGAGAGAGCGAGATCAGTTAGGAGATAAAAATACAACAAATTTGTGTTTAATTTGTATTCCTAAAGGAACGGTTCACCCAAAAATGATTTATACACCCTCATGTATATTTAAACCAGGCAGCGGTACTCAAACAAGGACCCTCACTGTCAGAGACAATATTTTACGGCCCTCAAGGTATTTCTGAAACATCTGCATGACAATGCTACTCATTTTCAAACTTCACTAACAGAAAGCAGTAGTGCCAATAGATTTAAATAATTAAATAATTTTAAGTTGTCCTGCTGCCCTCTTGGAAGTGTGCTGAGGCCCCCTAGTGGGCCCCGGCTCCCTAGTTGAGAACCACTGCTCTAAACCCACAAGACGTTCTTTCTTCTCTGGAACACAAACACAGACAAGACATTTTACTTTCTTTTGTGTTTGTCTGCCTTCTGTGGAAGTCACACAGATCAACATGAGGGTGTGTAAATAAAGACTACATTTTTTCCTAAAGGAACGGTTCACCCAAAAATGATTTATACACCCTCATGTATATTTAAACCAGGCAGCGGTACTCAAACAAGGACCCTCACTGTCAGAGACAATATTTTACGGCCCTCAAGGTATTTCTGAAACATCTGCATGACAATGCTACTCATTTTCAAACTTCATTAACAGAAAGCAGTAGTGCCAATAGATTTAAATAATTAAATAATTTTAAGTTGTCCTGCTGCCCTCTTGGAAGTGTGCTGAGGCCCCTTAGTGGGCCCCGGCTCCCTAGTTGAGAACCACTGCTCTAAACCCACAAGACGTTCTTTCTTCTCTGGAACACAAACACAGACAACAGACAAGACATTTTACTTTCTTTTGTGTTTGTCTGCCTTCTGTGGAAGTCACACAGATCAACATGAGGGTGTGTAAATAAAGACTACATTTTCATTTTTGGTTGAGCTATTCCTGGAAGGGTAGCATAATATACTTTTTCACCTCATTATCCTGAAATTTGGTATGTGCAACAGGCAATATCTGTGAACACAACAAATCATGACACCTTTTAAACATGCATAAGAGAACA